CCTAATGAGAGACGAATTATCCTCCCCACCAGGAAACTGAATTCCAAAGTGGCTCGAAGACTCCGAGGGTGAATGAAACACGTCTGGGATCACAAATGTCTGTCTGCCTCCCCGCGGCCTCTCTATCACGCGGTGCTAAAGGCACCCGGCTCCTCTCATACATTTTTTTTTTTTTCGCTTCAGAAGGAATTAAATATTTATTCTACAGGTTTTGGAAAATACCAAAAAGGAGAAGAAAGAAAATACATCCCCATCAGTCCAACCATTGGAGGCAGCCAGGACCATCCTGTTGGTGCAATTCCTTCAAATCAAGACAACTCTCCGGGTTGCAATTTGTTTTAGTTGATTGTTTCTGGTCATTTTCATACACGCCATAAAGTTTTACATATTGCTCATGTCACTGAACATTATAGCAGAAACACCCCCAGCTTTTGTTTTCTCCACGTTGTGTTCCATCGATTTGCACCTGATGGATGCTAGGCTACTGCTTGGAATCCATGCCGGTCCTAGCAATTCATTCCACAGCTGCCCAGAATTTAAGACAGGACCCCTCAGCCCTGGCCAGTGTGGCTTAGTGAGTTGAAGCATTGTCCCGTGAACCAAAAGATCATGGGTTCAATTCCCAGTCGGGACACATGCCTAGTTTGCAGGTCTGGTCCCTAGTTGGGGTACGTACGAGAGGCAGCCAATGGATGTTTCTCTCTCACATTGGTGTTTCTCTCCCGCTCTCTCTCCCTCCTATCTCCTCTCTCTAAAATCAATATACATGTCCCCAAGTGAGGGTGAAAGAAAAGACACCAAACTTCAGTTTCAGAACTGTTGCATTTTTTATTTTAACGAGATGCTTCCCAGTCTAATTTCCCATCTCCTCATCCATGTTAGAAAAAAGAGAGCGGTATGCTTCCTTCTCTACCTGGACAGTAGAACAAACGCTTAGTCGCCTTCAGTTCTGCCTCATCCTGTCTCAGGAGAGGAGAGCAGAGGCAGTATGGATTCCATTAAAGCTCCATCCCTTCTGTTTGCTACCTGTATTCGTTTGCCATCGTGTGGTGTCTATCTTCTTAACCCCCAGAGCTCAGGGACCCTGTCCTAGCGTGACGACGTTCTCCTGCAGAGAGAGTGGGTGCTCAACGCTTTCACGCATTGATTGATGAATGGCATTTGAGCAGGGCATTAAATGCACATGTAAAAGGATCAGCCAAATGTGACTGCAGCGATTTTACATTTTAAGGGCTCTGAGAAAGAGAAGTGAACTGAACTCAGTGGTCCTTGGGGCCCCCGGAATAACCAGCCTATTCACATAAGTTCTGAAGGTGTTGGATCTCTGAGGCCCTAGAATCCGATTTCAACTAGTTCCCAGTAGGACTTGGTTTCGGTGGCGCCCCTCTGGCCAGCATCCTGGCAGAGAGGAAGGCCTTTGGGCCACCCTTGCAGGTGGCACACACTGCAGGCCACAGGTACACGCCCATCTGGCTTGAACCTGGCCCTGGGTAGAGCTGGCTGGAGAGCTTCCAGCATGTCTGAGCTCCGAGTTGGGAGCACTGGAGGCAGGGAGGTAAATGCACCAGGTGGATATGCAGCCCTCCTTGGCAGTCAGGTGTTCAGAGGGAAAGGGCTGTATAGTCTGCTGGACCTACTTCCTAAGAGGCTTCCTAGCCACTGTGGTTAACACCCGTTTTGCCCTGGACACCTCTGGCAGAGATGCGAGCGGTGGCCGTGGGAGGGAGCAGATTATGGAATCTCTCTCTTGCATTTCTTTCTGCTCTTATTGATTGTGTTGGATCTCGACGGGCTTGGATGGCCAGGGGAGGTCACAGGCCTTGGAAAGAGTCACCACCTGCTCTACATACTGGCCACCTGGAACCCCAGGCACTTAGAAGGCAAAATGAATGAGGAACACATAGGAGGTTAGGCAAGATGACCGGTTCCGGAAATGAACTTTCGTGATAGCCATGATAATAAGAGCCCTTACAGAAGCTTTTGAATCTTCAGCTTTCAAGACCTATCCCTGGAGAGCCAGACGTGATGGGTCTGGCAGAGGAGGCTAATAATTTGTATTGTAACAAGCAGCATGGTGGGGGGATGGGGCGTAGCACCTGGGAAGTTTGATAGGTAGCTCACCCAGCAGAGATGGAAACAGAACGAAGGTTTAGAGAGAAGAGTTGGGGGGAAGAGGCTGCTTCACGCTGAGGAGGAAGATGTCAGTGATCTCAATACCCTGTAATTGTTTTTTAATTTTTAGTACTGATTTTAATGAGAGGAAGAAAGAGAGAGAGATTGAGAGAGAGAGACCCATCGATTTGTTGTTTCACTTATTTGTGCATTCATTGGTTGATTCTTGCATGTGTCTTGACTGGAGATAGGGCCCTCAACCTTGGCCTATCGGGATGACGCTCTAAGCAACGGAGCTACCCGTCCGGGACAATACCCCATAATTCTTAAGAGAGCTAGTAGCATAGTCTTTGACAAAAGGAAAATGAGCTTGGAAATCCAGCTTTGCTCTGTGACCTGAGAATGTTACTTAATGTCCCAAAGCCTCAGTGTGCTCATCTGTAAAATAGGAATAATAATGTCTACCTCATCAGGCTGAGAAAGAATTAAATGAGGTAAAAAATGAGGAGTGAGGAATTAAATGAGAAAACAAAGCATTTAGCACACATCTGGTACCTATTCAGCACTCAATAAAATAATCAAAAATAAAAAGTTATAAATAGTACTTTATTATGACCAAGGCCCAGCGACATGCTTTATGTCATTTGTAATCCTTTTATCACCTTCTTTGTCACAATTTGTTCTCCTAATCCCTCTTTCCCTCCCTCTTCTTCCTCTTCCTCTCTCTCACCTCCCCCACTTGTGATTAAGGGGACACTTTTATGAAGGGACTAGTTGAAATCAATGTAGTCACAAGACCCAATAAAACTCACAAGCCAATGTCAGGATCAAGCTGTCCCTTTGCCCTTTTGTAAACAAGATTAACAAAAGGCGCTAAGAATAATCACCAATGATGCCATCTGTCTAGAAACGGACTGTGTCAGAGCTGGAAGGGCCCTCAGCCCTTAACTGGCCCGGAAGCCCATTTGAAAAGAGAGAGAAGATGGAGAGAAGAGGAAACCTACGCAAGGCCATGCCAGGGAGCGGTGGCCAGACTGGGACCCCCACCCAGATCCCCCAGCCCCTGGTTGCATCCAAGCTCTTTGCGCTGAAGCACGGCTGGGTCTCAGGAGCCACGTTTCCTGACCCCTTATACTCCACCTTTTTTGGCTCATCACCTTGTTCTCACGCCAGTCTACAAAGACAGCCGACATCAATCTTTTGATAAAAGCTACCCTGAGCATGAAAGGCACACCTTTGGGCAGACCCGCATCTGACCTATTTCCACGAGGTAGACAGAATATCTATTATACAGAAGAGGCTTAGTGGACTTGCCCAGGCTCATGCCCAGTCCATGTAACTGTCAAAGGCAAGGTTTGAACCCAGGTTCAACTCTGACGCCTCAACGCTTCTCACCTCCGACCAGGAAGCCTGCTTGGCTCCCAAATGCCCTTGATCTGCCCTCGGGTTACCCACGCCTCCTCTTCTCCCCATACCTGAGCCTGCCAGGCACGCTGGCTGGTAATCAGTGTTACCCAACAGGAACATTTGTTGGTGCCAGTTGCAAACTGTTGCCGCCTATATAGATTAGGCCACTGCCGCCAAGTCTGCAAAAGTAAATGAGCCTTTCCAAGGGCCATGGAAATAAATTTAAATGGCAGCGCCAAAGGGCCTGAGACTGTGGCTGAGTGAGCATCTCTCCGCAGAAAAGTGACAAGGACAGCAATCAGTCCTCTCTAACTCGAGACTGTCATCGGGCATGTTCTGACCACTCCAGCTTCCCGCTGAGGGTCGTGTTTCAAGGATGACAGTAACAGAGGTGACCAGTACTAGGCCCTCACTCTGGGAGCCGCCCCCCATGTGCGTGTGTGTGTGCATGTTTTACATACGTTGTTCTATTGAAGGAGGACAACCCTTCATTTTACAGCTGAAGAAACTGAGGCTCAGTAGAGCCATCTGTCACCATGCAGTTGGCAGAATGGGTCTCAGATAAGCTCATGAAGCTGATGTTTCAGGCATGATTCTGCCAAACGGCTGTTGGGACCAGCCCTTATTTAAGATTACTAAGTGGTTTCACTTTCAAGACGAAAATAAATCAGAAGGCGTCAGCAGGGTATACAAGGCCACCGGAGCCTGGCCCCGACTGACCTCCCCACCTCGCCGGCTTTCTTCGGAATTAGCTTCCACCTCTGCTCTCTGTCCCCTTGCATTCCTGCTGACCTCAGCCAGGCCTCATGATTCTGAATCCTCAAATTTTTCTGTGTCTCCCACAAGGTCACTTATATATTAGTTAAAAAAAAAAAGGTCTCTCAGTCCCAGTGCAATCCAGCCCCAAGCCAGGGCACAGGGCACAGGGCAGGTGGGAGCGGGGCTGGTTACAGCCCACTCATCCTCTTAGCGGTGTGTCCTTGTGCAGTGAACCGCCTGTCCCGCTGTGTGCAGTGGGCCTGCTCTGCAGGTTGGGTGAGGGGCCTGTCCCCTCTGTCCTGGTGCCGCGCAAAACTTGTGTCTTTCTCAGCCTTTATTCCATCAAATATGATTGTTTCTACTTTCCTCTTCCCGCTCCCAGTTCCTATACAACTAGACTGAAACTCCTGTGCCCTTGGCTTCAATAGCCCTAATGCCTAGCTCAGGCCTGGCATGATCAACCCTACATCTCTACAGGCAGCAAAAGGAGAAAGGGAGAGAAAAAACAAAGAAGAAAAGCGGGGAAAGAAGGAAAAGAAGAAGGGAGGGAAGGAAGGGGGGAGGTAGGGAAAGAAGCAGCCCCCATGTCTGTTAATCGGCTGTGCCAGCATCCGACCAAGCCTTGGGAGCCACCTTGGGAGAGCCCCCTCTGAGTCCGAGAGAAGGGGAGGACCCAAACCCCCAGCCCTAAGCTAACTGGTGTCTTTTCTCCTCTCCCCAAGATGCACCCCTGGAGGGAGACGCTGGTCCTTCGGGTACTTACCTTCTACCCTCAGGAGCACTACTAGAGAGCACTCATCTGAGCAAAGTCAGCCTGGAAGAGAAAGCGACAACTGCCCCCCTGAGTCCCGTGCAGTCGGGGGAAGAGCTTCAGGATCCAGAGCTGGAAGGGACAGCCCCCTCTGCCCATCCAGACCCCGTGGCCCTGTCCACTCTGCTTCCAGAGGAGCCCAGCACCAAGCTCACCTTCTCCCCTAGGAAGAGGCTGCCTTCACTCAAGCAGGTGAACTCATCCAGGAAACAGCTGAGACCAAAAGCCACCTCTGCAGCCGTCCTCGCAAGGGTGGCGTCCCAGCCCGCATCCCCAGGCCTGGGTCCCCTCTCCTCCACCACGAGGAAGCCTGGCCCCCCGGGGGACCCTGATCCTGTGGCCTCCGTGGGTGGGGAGACCCTTCGACTGCCATCGGAGGAGCCCCTCTGGCTGAACCGGAAGGAAGGTGGGGTCCCCACAACACCCGCCCCCCTGCAGATCTCTCCCTTCACCTCGCAGCCCTATGTGGCCCACACACTCCCCCAGCGGCCGGACCCCGGGGAGCCTGTGGGGCCCGACGAGGGCCCTGAGGTTCCTGCTGAGGATGCCAGTCCCATGACCGTGATGGACAAGGGTGAGAATGAGCTGACCGGCTCCGCCTCAGAGGAGAGCCAGGAGACCACGACGTCCACCATCATCACCACCACGGTCATCATGACAGAGCAAGCCCCAGGTATGCAGCCCCAACCCCCGCCTCCTGCGGCATCCGGGAGGCACCCAGGTGGGCGGGGCCTGGGGTGGGGCGGTCCCGGCCCACCATCAATTACCATCTACGGAACGCTGGCTAGGACCTTGATCCCGTGGCTCTGTATCAATATCCCTATTTTAAAGATGGGACAACTGGGACCCTGAGCCATCAAGCAACCTGCCCAAGGCCACACAGCTAAAGAGCGGAATGCAAACCCTTTCCTCCTTGAAAGAGAATCCTTTAGTCTGCCTAGAAGTGCTGCCTTTTCAAAGTGCTTTCACTTTTACCATCACATGTACTTCTCTAGACTTGATCAAATGCACTTCTGTGTTCTAATCTTCCTTTTCCTATCTGCTTTTCCATCTTCAAACAGAGAGGCATCAACTGTCCATCATATGTGGATATGGACAAATGCAATGTGGTCACTTGTTAAACAGTATGAACCCTGGTTTTGAGCCCTGATTGCTGTGTGAGCTTGGGCCAGATGCCGCCCCTCTCTGATCTTTGGTTTACTTATTTCTAAAATGAGGACAAAATTTCAGTCCCTACAAGGGTGAATGGGGCCCCTCTCTCCAACGGGCAGAACAGTGCCCAGCAGCAGGTAGTAAGTGATCATCCCGTGTCAGCTGAGCTCTCCTTGGGGTCCTAACTGAAGTGCTTTCCTCCAGCCCTCTGCAGCGTGAGCCTCTCTGATCCTGAAGGGTACATCGACTCCAGCGACTACCCACCGCTGCCCCTCAACAACTTCCTTGAATGCACGTACAACGTGACCGTCTACACCGGCTACGGGGTGGAGCTCCAGGTAACTGCAGAAAGATGCCCCAAGTGGCTGCCTCTTCCAGCAGGAGATCTCTGAAGGGTTGTCTGAGTCAGGCTTACCGTCGGCGTCCTAACGAGCCCGGTTCTCTCTCTGCTCTAACCAGGGCAATTGGAGCCAGGCTTTGGTGAATGAACGGGAGTTCCTAACTCAGTGCGCAGCTGAGATACCTCGGCCGGCACACGTGGAGGGAAGGGGCATGTTGATCAACTACAAGGCATTGTACCCAGAGGGAAGGTCTTCTGCTACCCTACTTATCAAACACTCACACACTCAGGGAAGCCCCACCTAGTTCATTTGATTTGTAAACTTTTGCCTGCAAACTCAGATGGAAAATCAAGGTGATGCCAGCATTCGGACATCTGGATGTTGGGTCTCGGCTCTATCAGTTAAAGCTTCATGATATTGGGCAAGGGGACCGTGCTTCTCTGAGCCTCAGTTTCCCCATCAGTAAAATAACAACGATAATGTTGCTACTTTACAGAGTTGTAGGGGGGAACAAATAGAACAACACACAGAGAGCATTCAGCCCGAGAGAGCACTCAGTGCATGTTACCAACTATGCTCACCCTGGTTCTAGACCTTCCCCAACTGACCATCCCATAGAAGTCCTTTTTAAAGTGGACCGAAGAGACATGCCCAGGAGGGGTGACTGTCCAGTTCACTGTCCCACAGAGGAGAGGAGCAGGGAGAAGCTGGAAGAAGAAGCTGGTACCACATGGCAGCAAAGCCTTCTAGGCCAAGGTTAGAGGTCTGGATGTGTGCCTCTCTCTAATGGGGAAAAAAAAAAAGCCATCAGAAGTTTCTGAACAGAGTTCATTGTAGGGCATGAAGTTTAGGAAGGTTTTTCTGACTTATAGCAGAAAGGTCATGGGTCTTTGCAGCCCCCAGAGCTTAGCACAGTACGTGGCACATAGTAGAATTGTAATAAATGTTCGTGGAATTTGTGAAGTTCATCTGATTCTGGCACCTCATGAACCCACTCTGTGCCTAATGCAGTCAGGAGCCCTTTCTCAGACCCAGTAGATTCCCTTCATGAGCACCTACTATGTGCCAGTCACGGCTACTGATCCTGGGGTTGCGGCGGTGGCAGAACTGATGGAGCACCTGCCCCGCAGGAGTTCACCGTGCGGCGATCACGACAGACACATACAACACATCGCAATGCCATTTGAAAAGGTCTCTAGAGGATGCTTAGAGGTGATGTGGTAGAATCACAGTGGAGAGACCGGCAAGCTTCTTGGTGCTCAGAAGATCTCACAGAGAAGGGCAATTTTGGTGGGGCTTCGGAGAATAACTAGGAGTTTGTCAAAAAGAGAAGAGAGTCAAGTATACGGCCGGAAAGAGAAAGGGCTTATCGGTGAGGGCTGCCCTGCTTGCATGAGCCCGGAATTCCAGGTCCCACGAGGAGAGGCTTAAATATCTAGAGTGGGCACTGGGAACCGACTAAAGTTCCCACCCACCCCCACTCCACTTGTTCAATGTCCCTGCGTACAACTGAAATGTCTCCCTGGAGAGGAGCAAGGACGCGGTTCGTGGAGAAAGCTCCCGAGCTGGAGCCACCATTGGGGAGGATAAGAGGGTAGGACTGGGTACACCCTAGAAACGAGGCCCCCGACTCCCTCACTTACCGGTTCATACAGAAAGGGGAAAATGTATTCGATCATCCTGTAAATATTTATTGAGCTCCTACGCTATGCCAGGTGCTGTCTTAGGCACTGGGGACACTGAGCGACATGGAAAAGCCCCAGCCTCCCGGGAGCCTGCACCCTGGTAGATCGCCCTCTTCTCTCTCCCTGGAGACTGGGCTTCAAGCACAAGCTCATCCAGCCCCTGCCCCTGCCCAGCAGCTCCAGGAGAACTTGGCTCCGCTAAGCCTCCCCCACAGGACCCAGCTGCGGGGGCTTGAAGATCCCAGCAAGGCCTCTGTCCCCCGGCTGGGTTTCACTCTGTCCCCCCAGCCTTTGGGGGCATGAGAGGAGCCTAGACGTTCCCAGGGTTGGGGCTTCAGGCCTCTCTGTCCCATTGACGAGCGGCTGGTGGGGGGAGGGGCGCCGCGTCGGCAGCCTCAAGGCTAAGAGGGCCGTGGCTCAACTGCGACTCCGTTCCTCTCTGTCCGCCCTGACTGTCCCCAGGTGAAGAGTGTCAACCTGTCTGAGGGGGAGCTGCTCTCCATCCGCGGGGTGGACGGCCCCACCCTGACCGTCCTGGCCAACCAGACGCTGCTCGTGGAGGGGCAGGTCATCCGAAGCCCCACCAACACCATCTCCGTCTACTTCCGGACCTTCCAGGACGACGGGCTCGGCACCTTCCAGCTGCACTACCAGGGTAGGGTGGCCCAGGCTGACGGGAGGTAGCTGCTTGCCTCGGTTTCCCTCTGGAGCCAAGGCTTCTCAAACCTTTCTTCCCAGGGGTCCGCCTGGCAGTTTGGTAACTCTATGGACCTCTTCTCAAAACACTGTTTTCAAGAGCATAAAAAACTGTATGAGTTAAAAAGGAAACCAGTCAGATTGAATTACAGTTGTCAAAATGTTGTTTTAATCTCTGATACCGTAATCTATGTACTTCTTTAACACATTAGATACTAAAATCTCCTGGCAGTTCTGATAATTACTGTAATTTCAAAGTACTGAGGAGCCTAAGAAATATATGTCAAGCTATCCATTATGATATGAAAATATCTGTGATTTCTCTTGGTGACAAAGTCACAGATTCTATGAATATGTTACAGTTTGTTGCTACATTCATGATTGAAGGAAGTACCACAGCTCAGCTAAACGTTCATGAAAATAAGGAAGCTGCTTTTTCCCATTCACGTTCATGGCTCCTGCGTGTAACACATGAAAGGGCATGGGCTTCTGGTATCGGGCTTCTGCCACGGGGGTCCGTCTCTTTTTTCCTCTACAATGTTTCTTTTTTTCCATTTCATCTGTTTCTAAACCTACTTTCTTTTGCTTTATGTTCATTGCTCTCTTCCTTCCTTTTGCCTTCCTTCTCCTTACTTCCCTATTTTCTTGCCTCCTTTACTTCTTCCTTTCGTCTCCCTCCCTTCACACTCACACTCCATTCTCTCTTCCTCCCTCTCTCCCCCCACCTCATCGCCCCATGTTTCCACTTCCTGGGCAGTTCCTGTGGCTCAGGTTACTTCCCTTAACTCCACCTGCTTAACTCACCAAACATCTGAGTGGGAAGTGGGGTCATTAGCAATCCAGATACTGGGAACCACCCACATTCACATCAGATTGACCAAACAGGTGGAAAAATGATTCATTTTTAACTTCTCTGAAACAAGTGGATGACTGTATATGGGCATGTTCACTCCATCACAGCTTTTCAAAATTGTTGTCTTGTTAATTAAAAAATGGGAAAAATAGCTTGTTGAGCCATGACCTTGGGTACTGAGAATACAGATCTCCTTTGCTGGAGGAGAGATCAGACCATGGTGTGGGACGGAGCTAAGATGGACTTAACATCCTCTTGTGAAAATTCAGGAGCCCAACAGAGCCACGCCCCCCTCCTGCCACCTCCTGGTCAGTGAGGGCCACCTATACGCCAGACGTTTCCCACATCATCCTTACCACTGGGGAGGTGGGGACAATTTTCTACTCCACTGGAAAGATAATGGAAAGTGACATTTACAGCAGTGTATTATTTTCTCAAAGCCACACATTTTCTAAGTGATGGGGTAAGAATAGAAATTCAACTTGGTCCCCTTCCAAAGCCAACCCCTTACCTCTCAGGACAATTGTTTTCAAGTTCTCCTATCTCTGGCATTTCCAGAAGAGCCAGCTGCTCTCATTCAGGTCTGAGAGTCCGCATTTTTAACAAACACCTGGGGCATTTGTGCAGGTGGGACTCCCCCTACTTCGGCAATACTGGCCCTTCTATGCCCACGGAGAAGGCCATCCTAGGTCCATGCAGAGAGAGGCTCCGATGAGGCTTGGGAGCTCATTTTTCACCCCAAACCTGCTGTCCCTGGTTGGGCAGGGTGGGGAGCTTTGCACACGTGATCACCATGTAATCAAGGAGAGACACACACATACTCTCTCCACCCCACTCTCCTGAGTCACCAAGGGCCTCCGCTGTCCTCCTCGGCGCACACCAGCTCCCAGGACATGGGTTGCATTCTCGTCTCTGCCCCTGGGGGGATGACCATCTGCCTCTGCATTTCTTCCCAGCCTTCATGCTGAGCTGCAGCTTCCCCCGCCGGCCGGACTACGGGGATGTCACAGTGATGGACCTGCACTCGGGCGGGGTGGCCCACTTCCACTGCCACCCGGGCTACGAGCTCCAGGGCGCCAAGACGCTGACGTGCATCAACGCCTCCAAGCCCCACTGGAGCAGCCACGAGCCCGTCTGCTCAGGTACACCCCAGCCTCAGCTGGGCCACACACGGAGGCTCAGAGAGAAGGGAGAGGCCAGCCCCAGGGCATTAAGACAGACCTTAGGCGTAGACTCTTACCCCAGGGGAAGAGACGGCTCCACATACAGATAAGTGCTATAAAAGACACGTCATGCAAAATGTACCATTAGTGACATTTTGTACATTCCCCACATCGTGCAGCTATCACCACTGTATAGTTCCAGGACATCTTTGTCACCCCCGAAAGGAAACTCTGTCCCTGTTAGCAGTCACTCTCCATTCTTCCCTCCCTCTCAATCCTGGCAACTGCCAGTGCACTCTGTGTCTCTGTGAATTTGCCTATTCTGGACATTTCCTATAAATGGAGTCAGATAGTATGCGATCTTTTGTGACTTGATTCTTTCACTTAGCATCTTGTTTCCGAGGTTCATCTCTGTTGTAGTGGGTATCAGAACTTTATTTCTTTTTTATGGCTGAATAATATTCCATTGTTAGATAGACCACATGTTACCTGTTTGTTCATGTGTAGACATTTGGATCATTTCCACTTTGGGCTATTATGAATAATGCTGCTATGAACATTTGTATGAAAGTTTTTGTGTGGACATGTATTTTCATTTCTCTTGGGTATATACCCAGAAGTAGAGTTGCTGGGTCACATGGTAATTCTATGTTTAACTCTTTAAGGAACTGTTAAACTGTTTTCTACAGTGTCTGCACCATTTTACATTCCCACCAGTCATGTCCAAGAGGAAATAATACACAATTCCTGCCCTCCATAATCAGTGGAATCCAAAGAGCAAATGAGAGCTGATAATAAATTCTGAGATTTAATTGTCGCAGTGTTGTTCCCCCAAGGCCCTTCAGAATTTTTCTTCTTTTCTTTTTAACAAAGAAAAACCCCTAAGCATGGGCAGTTGGTCTCTGCACCTCCGTCATGTTAATTTTTATCTACGTGTGGAACCAAGAGGAAATTAAGCCTCAATTTGGGCTAAGAAAGATGGATGGAGAGCCACAGCTAGCAAATTGAAACCGAACAGAGCTATCAGTAGGCTTCATAAAGCAAGAAAGGGGAAGAGAGAGGCAGCCAGCGAGGAGCAGCTCAAGGGAGGACAGATGGCCAGCGCCCCCACCGTGGTCAGCGTCCTCCACCTCCTCAGCTCCGGAGCCCCAGGACGATCATGCTGGCTCCGTTTCAGCACCCACTCTGTGCCAGGGACCGCACCAAGCCCTCGACACGCAACATGTCATTGGTTTCTCACCACAGTTGTCCAAGGAGGTGGAATTATTATCTCCATTTTGCAGTGAACTCAAGGTTCAGAGAGCTTCAGTAACTTGTCCTAGATCCACAGCAGATGCCTGGCACGGACCTGGTTTGAACCTAATTAGGCCGGGCAGGCAGCCTGGGGAGAGACCGCGGTGCAGTGCTCTGTCCGCGGTGCTGAAAGAACAGGGCTCATTGGCAATGTCTTTGCTGTAAGCCACAGCCGAGTCCCCCGCAAAGAGAGCTGTCCACTTTTCTCTCCCAGTGCAAATCCTTACTAGTTGTGCAATCATCCCACAAGCATTTAATAAGAACCAAATATCACCTAACAATAAGAGTAGTACAACCGCCTTCCGCTTGTATAACTTCTGAGTTCATAAATCGCTCTTTAATATTTATCAGATTTTTATGATGAAAGTATTACATGGTTCTGGTTTTTAAAAGTTTTCAAGATATACAAATGTATAGAATAGAGGAGCAAGTCACTTTTATATTCATGCGCTCAGCTGACCCTTGTGCATCTATATAGCTCATTGAAATAGATACAGCAGACCATTTTCTAGTATTTTTTTTACGTAAAATATAGTGAGCATTTTCCTATATTCTCAAGCATTCTTTGAGAACATGGTTCTTTAAAAACTGCATGCATGGGAGTATTTATTCTGCCAATTCCCTGTGAGTAGACATTCATGTTGTTCCCCATTTTTGTCTCTTAGAAAAAAATCTAGCAGTGAACATTCTCATTCATAAACTTCTGTGAAAACCTATAAATCTCTTCTTAGAATAAATTCTCAGAACCTTAATTATTAGGTCACAGTGTTTGAAAATACTCTCTAGACTTCTCCACCAAAATTCTGTCCTGAAAGTTCATACTGTTAGCATTCTACCCAGTCCTGAATGCGAGTGACCGCTTCCCATCACCCCATCATCCCAGGGTTATTGTTGCTTTTTACCTTGACCAATTTGGTGGATGAAAATAGAATATAGTTCATATTTGCATTTCTTTTATTATTAGTAGGGCTGAATTTTTTTAGTGCTTACTATGTACTAAAAGCATATTTTATCTTTTGTAAGCTGCCTATTTATGTCTTTCTTGATGACCACTTTATAATTAAGAAGCAGGGCACAGCCAGCACCATGAAGTACCCTTAAACCACAGAACACAAGGCAGTGGCTCCAATCATGGAGGGAGAAATCCTATCAAACAGGATGAAACCCACCCAGAGGACAGGGTTTTTCCTTGGTATCTCTCCTTCCATCCTGTTTCTCTCATAGAAGGGTAGGAGTGGGGATCAGGGAAGGATGAAACACTCACTTTCTCTCTCCCTCTCCCTCTCTCTCTCCCTCTCTACCTCCCTCTGTGCCCCCCATCACCCACTCACCCTTACTTTCTGCCTCCAGCCCCTTGTGGGGGGGCTGTGCACAATGCCACCATCGGCCATGTCCTCTCCCCAAGTTACCCTGGAAACGCCAATGGGAGTCAGTTCTGTGTGTGGACAATCGAAGCTCCAGAGGGCCAGAAGCTACATCTTCACTTTGAGAGGCTGTCACTGCATGAGAAGGACAGGTAAGCGTCTGAGGGCCACAGCCAGCCTCATTCCCTCCCAGGGTGTTAGAATGTGGCTAGGGATTTGGAGTCTTGAAATGGCTGAAATCTTGGCTCATGGTGTTCAAGAAAGAAAGAGCTTGGAGGATGGCAAAAATCTTAAGAGATCATCAGCCTTGATCTCTTCTTTTTAAAGGTAAGGAAACTAGGCCATACAGAGGGAAGGGGACTTGCCCCAGGTCACACAGCGAGATAAGGAAAGAGACAAAAAGGGAATCCTGACCACCCCACCCTCCTCATGTTGCCCTGCCTCCTCATTCTTTCTCCTGAAAATCACTTTTTGTAGTTGAACAAGGAGAGAGTGTTCATTGAGCATCTGCTTTGTGCCCAGTCATGTACTAGGCTTCATGGAGAATAGGAGAAAAGTAGAGGACATTGGTTCCAGTCATATGGAAAAACTAGATTTATGCACCTCAAAGAGCTAGGGAGAAGTCACAATGCATTATCTAAGTGACAGCAGATCTGTAGACTCTAAGTAATATACACAGGATCCAGAACTGTAACATTCTATGCATGACCTTATGTCAGAATATTCATGCATATTCTTGAAAACTAGGACCTTAGCTGCTTATACTTGCTGTCTTGAGTTTGGTTCCCTTGGAAACAGAGATGTGATGAACAGTAGTTTATTTGGGAGCTGATCCTAGAAAATACAGAGAAAGTGAGAAGGAAGAAAAGAGAGTCGATACAGTATGCATTAATAAGCAGGTGACTGAGGGCAACTACATCTCTATCCACTGGGGATCTCCAGGAAACTGCATTAAGCATGCCTCAGAGTGGTCCTTTTGGAGGGGCAAGGGAGCTGGGCTACTTATCTACTGCCTCCCACCCACCATTGCATAAAGGATGCTCTTGGGCACACAAACTCCCCAATATCACCTTCCACCCTTTGAGCTGGTTGAGCTGGCTCACTCTCAGAGACCTTGTGTAAAAATCCCACAGAAAATACATGCGCAATGAGTGCTGAAGGGAGATGGGCCTGGTGCTGACCACATTCACCTCACTTTCAGAGTGCCAGCACCTGAGAATTTGGGGATCGATCTGATTTTTTAAAAATTCTTATTCTATTACAGTTGGCCTCATTTTTCCCCTTTTCCTTCCTCCACCCAGCCTGCCCCTGCTCCCACAGTCATTCCCCGTACTGTTGTCCCTGCTTATAGTATCCGGGCTTCTCTGGAGTTTCAAACCTACACCATTAACCTCATTAGGTCAGAAGGGATTTGTATAGAAAACACCAGACAACTGAATAACTTACCCAACTCTTTAGTCTGCTTCCCTCCAAGTAGTCCAGCTTCATCCTGAGCAACTCCATACTGATAAATCAGAGCTGTAGAGAGTAAGGGGTAGAGCAGGGGTTTCAAAACATGGCTTCCTGGTAGCATCAGGCGACTTGGGGAACTCTTTAAAAGATGGATTCCCAATCTTTCCTTCTAGAGACTGATTGAGAAGCCAAACATTGAGCCCTTGGTCAAGGGCACAGTCTAAAACTTAGACCTTCAGGCATGGCCCCCAAGATACAACAGAGTCAGCAGGAATCAGAGGACTGAGAAGAGGTCACCTTCCCTCTTGGAATGGCTCCTGGTCTTTTCCTCAGCCCCCTCCTCATCTAAGTCACAGTGGAAACATGGCAAAATGAACATATTGTAGCTCCAACATTTATGCATTTTGGTGACATTGGAAATTTGTTTAGGCAACATTATAGAGAGCCTTTTATAGGTCATAGTAAAAAAAAAAAATCAAAGGATTTTAAATGCCTATTTATGACTCCATAAACACAACTTATCAAATTTGTGTACCGTTTTCTCTCTACTTTTGCATAATTTCTTTAAAAATACTAACACTAGCAAAGAGTCAAGTATCCAATGGTTTTAATAGCAGTATAAGTGAATAGCAACATTTTGTCTAACATATTTTAATTTTCAGGGTGCTTTATCCTGTCAGACTTTCAAAGCCCACCTGTAGGATGGGTAGGAAAGATGTTATAATCCCCCTTTTCACAGTTGTGGAAACTGAGGCCCAAGATATGTTGATATTTATGTAAACTTAGTGGAGCATTGGAAATTGGAAATCAAGACCCTTGACTCCCCACGCAGTGCTCTTAGGAAATGATGATCAAAGAGCCTGTTAGGGGTCAAATGCTTAATAAATTTGACTTACATACCTGTTCTATCCTGGACACTTTATACCCACAGTCTATAATCCCCACACTCTGATGTAGGTGGGGTTGTACCCACTTTACAGATGAAGAAATAGAGGCTCAGTGAGGTGAAGAGTCCTTGTCCAAAGCTACACATCTCAGAAGTTAGAGAGTCAGGATTCTGACTGTCTGACTCTATAAACTGCTATTTCAGGAATGATATTAGCTCATTAATCCCAACTTTTCAATTAGTAATAATAATCACTATCAACTAATTAGCCTGGTTTATTCCATGTACACATCACTTCTCCTATAACCTCAGAATCAATCCATGACTCTAGGGCAAATGTTCTTCCGAAAAAGAAACAGCTTCCATAAGGTACAGCAGCTTGTCCAGACATTTAGGGGCAAAGTCAGAACTTAAATCTGGGAATGAGAGGTGCTCACTGCACGCCCCTCCCACTGTCGCGTGTCCATGACCCTAGAGGACCCCCAGCGGCCCCCCTCTCCTTTCCCCCCACCAGGATGAAGGTCTACAGTGGGCTGACCAACAAGTCTGCTCTTCTCTACGACTCCTTTCAAACTGAGAGCGTCCCCTTCGAGGGCCTGCTGAGCGAAGGCAACAGCATCCGAATCGAGTTCATGTCTGACCAGGCGCGGGCAGCCTCAACCTTCAACATCCGGTTCGAGGGTGAGGGTCCGTGGGGCCTCCCCAGCTCCTGGGGCGGCGGAACAGGATCAGAGGAAGCATGGTAGGGCTGGGACTGGGTCCTGGGAGGCAGAAATCTGGCCGACCAAGCATGGGGGAGATCCAGCGGCTAGACAGACTCTGGGACTTGCAAAAGCAGACTTCACACTTACTATGTGCCCAGTGTCTTATGTCCAATGTGCGTTTGATGCTTACCAACTGCAGCGTGAGAGCTGCTACTACCTTTTAAGTGAGGAAACTGGGGTTAGGGAACCTGAATGACTTGCTCAAGGTCACCAGTTAGAAAAGAAAATGGAGCTAAGACTTCTACCAGCGTGAGCCTGGACTCTTAAGCTCTGCTCTCCTCACTGAGAACCCTTAGAGTCCAGCAACCTCTTCCTCCAAGAACTTTTAGAAAGGACATTCCTGACCCTTTAAGAGAGGATGCCCTTCGGCATTGCATGTACCTTGGTGAACTTTCTGTTCTGTCCTCCCTAAGTTGGTCCTTTTCCTAGATAAACTATAGGTTCAAGTGGTAGAAATCAAGACTCCCAGTTACGGGACATGGAAAGAATCCCCATGGAGTATTAAAAAGAATTTGAACATAAAATCTTTGCAGGATTGTGAGGGCAGAGATTCTTAGTTCCATTTTAAATATGAAAAAAAGTGAGACACCAAGAAACCAAGCGAATGGCCCGAGGGCCCTCAACAGGTCAGCTTGAATAAGACCACAGGGTCTGGTACCCATGTCCCTGGGAGCATCCCTAAGCATCAGGAAGGGACCCGTCTTCTGAGATACAGCACTGGGAGTGGCTCCTGACTCCTCTGAGCTGCTGTCCCTCTTTCCTCTCTCCTCCCCAGCCTTTGAGAAAGGCCACTGCTATGAGCCCTACATCCAAAATGGGAACTTCACCACGTCTGACCTGACCTATAACATCGGGACCGTCGTGGAGTTCACCTGTGACCCCGGCCACTCCCTGGAGCAGGGTCCGGCCGTCATTGAGTGCATCAACATGCGGGACCCATACTGGAATGACACGGAGCCCCTGTGCAGAGGTGAGTGACCCCACTGGCCTCCTCCTGGGGCCCCCCAAGGGCCCCCTCCCCCTCTGATGAAAAAGCCAAGACCTCTGTTCAGAGGCCCTTCACCACACTACATACCAGTTTTAGTATGAGAGCCCTTTCCCGGATTCACTGTTGTTTGGGTCAGGTTGGCTACTCGTCCTTGAAAAAATTATAGAATACATACATTTGAAAAGGTGCCTCTTTATCCAGGCACAAGCCACTAGTGCACAGCCTGGTGGCCAGATCTCTGCATAGATTTCAGCTGCTGCGTGCCCCCTCTGGCACGCATTCTTGTGCAATGCTAGCCCACCCACCAACAGTCCTGAGTCCAATTAATAATAATAACGATAATGAGAGTTGTTAATAGGAATGCAAACACTGTGTTTCAGGCACTCTGCTAAGGACTATAGGGGCAGAATCTGATTTAATCCTCACCATGACCCTTCCTATTGACTCCATTTATAGATGAGTAAACTGAGGCTGTGAATGACAAGGCTAGGGACACAATGAGGGTCACTGGCAGAGGGGAGAATGGAACTCAGGTCTCTCTGTTCTCAGAGACCTGTGCTCTGAGCCCCCTGGACAGCACTGGCTATGAAGAACCCTTGTCTACCGGGCCCCCCAGGGCCCTGCCCTCCCCATTTCCCCATATGCGGGGCTTCTGAGCCTCCCTGAGCCCGGATGCCTATGGAGCATGGAAGTAATGAAGAGAAGCCTCGCTCCTGGCAGCCGCCGCCTGGATGGTGGTTGGCGTGAAATAACAGCCCCGCCGTGGTGAGGGATTGATCTCTGTATTAAATGTGCTGGTTTAACAGAGCGGAATTTATTGGTGCTTTGGCCTCTGCCACGTTGAGAACTTTCCAAAGCGGTAAACACAGAGTGGAATTTAAAGGGCCAGGTGCCAGGTACGGTCCTATCTCTGCTTCCAGTTCAGAGCCGAGGTCCTCCACAGTTATATTAACTAAGAACTACTGAGCACTTACCTTGTGCCAGGCACCGTGCTGTGTTTGACGCCCATGAGCTCAATTAAGCTTCAGAATAACCCAATGACGTCAGCAGTGGTGTTACTGCAGCTTAACAGAGCAAGGAGACAGAGGTTCCAGGAAGTTCCCTACCTTGCCTCAGAGTGTGTTGGTGGTACAGGCAAGACCTGAATCCAGGTCCACCTGACCTGAAGGTACCATTTCTTAGCCACTGCTCACCCTGCATAAGAGAAGGGCGGTTGAAACTTCATTCAGAACTTTGAGCTCTGTCCTTGGTCCTGATAGAACTACAGCCCATCTTCACCAACCTTCAGCTAAAGGAGGCAGGCAGCCAGCTCCAATTTAATCATCCCACAGACGTGTATGGACTTCCCGGGGTGAAGGCACCTGTTCCCCATCTATGGCAAGCCGTGGCTGCGTGACTTCATAGCCCACACTCAACCGCTATGCCATATTGGCTTCCTCATAAATAAACTGTGTCTGCCTGTTTGTGTCTTTTACAGCCATGTGTGGTGGGGAGCTCTCTGCTGTCGCTGGGGTGGTTCTGTCCCCAAACTGGCCAGAGCCATATGTGGAAGGCGAAGATTGTGTCTGGAAGATCCACGTAGGGGAGGAGAAACGAATCTTCTTAGATATCCAATTGTGAGTGTTTATTGGTGGGCCCCACCCCCGTCCAGACTGGGGAAGCAATTGGTTCTGTTTTATTCTTTCAACCAACATTAAATAAGCATCTACTATGTGTCAGGGGCTGTGCAAAGAACTGGGGTCCCGATGGTGAAGGAAACAGCATCACACACATGCAGAGAAAGTCTCTGTGCTTGGGAAACTCTGTCTACCAAGGAATCAGGCACTAAAGGAGGAAATGCACCAATAACGCCGTACGGTCACGCTGATGATTGATGTAAGGATAGGTGCATGGTGCTATGAGATGCTATGGCAGGGATTTGACATAAAGGGGAAGATCAGAAAAACCTTCCTAGGGGACTTGATACTACAGACCACAGCTGAGGGATGAGTCGGAGCATATGCACCCAAAAGGAACAGAATATGCAAAGGCCCTGTGGCAAGAGTATGCACAGCATTTTCAAAGGACTGAATGTCTAATTTATCAGTATTGCAGTAGTTCATGTCCTATCTGTCTCTCTCAACTACACCAGAAGGTTCTTGCCGTCGGGGTCTGGTCTGATTTAACTCTGTTTCAGCGTCTAACAGTGTCTGACACATAGTAGGTGCTCAGGAAATGATCTCTAATGAAGAAATGCTGTAGTGAATGGACTTACTGGCTGTGTGGCTCTTTCCTGTACTCACTGGTGGTACTTATTAAGTGTTCCGATTAGAACTCCCTCCATCAACTCCCCAGGGATTGGGGCACTCACAGGGGAGAAGGAGGTGCCAACTCTGGGCCAGATGCACAGTGATAGCTCTAAACATGTATATCCCAGGTAGTTCCCACAAAGAAAAAGACCATGCCTGGTATCCTATCTTCTGGGTTAGGACAACCCAGCCGGCAAGGAGCAGAGCTGAAATTTGAATGCAGGCTTTTGTGGCTGCTTATTCGTGCTCCTTCCGCTGACCCCATGTGACACAGAGCTGAGAAGGGGACAGAGACAGATGGTGGTGTCTGGAGAAGCAGAAGAAAGGGCTTCCAAGCAGACACAGACAATGTGGCTGGGGACGGGGGAATGCCAAGTTCTAAAGAGCCTCTCTGGATGCAGCCATGACCTCTGACGTCAGCTCTCCACTCGAGGCTGAAGTGTAAACCCAACTGGCTGGGAAGCAGGACCTGGGCTTCCTGGTTCTACAGAGGAGCTTTGCAAGTCAAGAGGGAACTTATTTGCAAAATCATTAGTGACTATCTTTTGAAGCTGTCCCTTAGCGACAGTGGATGTGTCCTCTGAAGCTGTCCCAGGACCTCCTGTTCCAATTGAGTCAAAGGTTTATAGGCCCTGCCTCTTGTGGACCCGGGACCAGGCCAACATGGATCGAAATTCCAGCTCCTTCACCTCCTGGCCGTGTGGCTTTGGGCTTCTCTGGGCCCAGTGTTTCTCAGCTATAAAGAGGGTCTTGGAACATTGGTGTTCCTCTGGCACGTACCCACGGAACTTCAAAGGCAATGGCAAACTCAAATTCATGTCCAGCTGCCTGTGAATCACAAGGAGGAAAAATATCAAAAATATGGGAAGAGTCTCCCAGGATATGGCCTCCATTTATCAATGAACCACATTTATTACATCATGAGTAATCTGGGTAAGAAATAAAAATGATCAAGCAAACTAACAGTAACAGGAAGACCCTCCCCCCAAAGAGGTTTTAGAAAAAAGTAATGGTATTAAAGGGTTTGCCATCACAGACTTAGAATTAGAATCCAGAGTGAGAGGACTTCGGAGGCCCTCCGAACCAATGATGTCAAAGCCACTGGTTGACTTTGGGGCCCAAGTGGGGTCGGGCTTGGGGAGGCCACATGTCCTTCTGGATAATCTGGGCACCAGGTGCTGAGCCATAGGGAAGGTGATGTGGGACCGCAGACAGGCTGTAAGCTGGGGCCAGCAGGGAGAGCTCTGTCCCTCCCAGGGAAGCACCCACTTCCTCCACGGGGCACACAGCCGATGTCATCCCAGGCCGATTCGGTCTGATCTCAGTCACCACAGACATGTAAAGGCTGTAGTTCTTTTTGCTGAGCAGCCTTAATTGGCTTCCACATGTATTGATTGAGCACCCACTGTGAAGGAGGCACTGGCAGGGAACCAGACAGGTGCAGCCCTGCCCTCAGGGAGCCCACGTCATGAGCCGACGTGGCACCAGCAAGATGAAGGACAGAGGCCCCCGGGGCCGGGAATGGGGAAGGTGAGTTGGTAGGTGGCAGGGAGAGAAAGCTTCCCTGAGGAGACAACATCTAAGTCACCGGGGGCGATTTTGCCCACAGGGGATGCTTGGCAATATCTAGAGGCATTTCTGGCTGTGACAATTGGTGCTACTGGAATCGAGTGGGTGGAGTTCGGGGTTGCTGTTCAACGCCCCGCAATGCCCAGGACGGCCCCACCACAGGGAATTAGCTCACACAAAGCGTCCACAGTGTGAAACTAGAGAAACCCTCCTCTGTGCTGAGTCCCGAAAGACAGAGAGAAGATGGACAAAGATGGAGGGAACAGTGTTCCACCCAAAGGAAGAGCCTGTGCTAAAGTCCACAAGCAGGAAAGCACAAGTCTCTCCTCATTTGTTCGTAATATCGAATCTAGGCTGAGCACTTAGTGCATCCCAGGCAGTCCCATCCCAGCACCGTCCCAACACGCACACGCAGTGGGGTCCACAATTACCTCCATTCTACAGATGAGAAAACCGAGGCTCAGAGCGACAGAAGCATGACTAGGACCACATGGCTGGGCCCTGGCAGAGCGTGGGTCCAGGCCCTGTTTGCTGAGTCTCTAGGGCCTGGGATCCTCCCCAGCCCCTGAAAGGAGGGAGCCCTGCATCTCCTCAGCCCAGTGACACAGCAGTGTTATCAGTGAGAAAGCACCGCAAGGCAGCCGTGGAATCAGATTGGACCTTGAGGGTTGCATCAGGGAGTCTGGATTCGCCCAAACTGGGCAGCAGAGGCCGGGCAGTGAGCAGTGGGCGGGACGAGCCCAGCCCTCCGGCCACCGGCCTGAGGCTTTCTCTGAAAAAGTCCAGCACACACTTGGCAGGGTGGCATCTGGACTTGGCACCTCTTTCCTCCCACAGAGGGAGTGAAAATAGCATCTCACCAGCGAGGGTTACGTGAGGCCCGAGAGCTGCTGGGTTTAATTTATCTCGCTTGGTTTCTGCTGACAGTTTTAGTAAACCAATTTGGGTTTGATAGTAAAAATAATTTTGTCCTCAGGGCCCCTCAGCCCTGCCTAAGTGTTAGCAATTGTTATGTATCAGAGCAGTGAGGAAGAAAGCGTCCGTACGGCAGACCGAGACGGGTAGGTGGCCTGTAGTGGGCGCTGGGCCGTGTTTGCTGGGTCCTGAGGGCCCAGCCACGTGTGCCCGGAAAGCAGGAGCTCTTTTTCTCCCTCATTTACTGGAAGGGTCTGTTGATGCCGTGCGCATTTAAGATACCATTTATGAGGGACCTACTATGTGCTGGGCCCTAAGCTGCGCAGTTTATATCCATGAGCAATAATGAAGAGGAACGTTATTTTGTAAAGGTAATAATTGCATCATTTTGAGCAAATGTGAATAGAGACCATGACAGAGGGATGATTGCCCAAAGGAAAGACGAGACATGCAAAGCATGTTGCATGGGGCCTGGCGCATAGCTGGCGCTTCATAAATGGAGATTACAATGACCAAGAATCCTTATGAGGGAGGCGTTGTTTATGTTGTGGGTTCAGAAATGACAGCACAGAGACATTAAGTGGCTTCCTCAGGTCACACAGCCAGGAAAGGACAGAGCCAGGGTTTGCACATACACCAAAGCCTCCACTTTCATGGACTTGAACAGCCTTTGTAGGGACCAGCTACACGTCCGTGATGAAGCATAGGGGCTCCCCAGCCTCCAGGAGGTCAAAGGTCAGGAAGGGAAGAAGGGACATAAATAGACCTGGCGAGAAAGGGGCAGAATGCTGTGGGTGGCGGGGCAGGGATGGAGATGCCAGGGGCCCTGGGTTTATTGCTGTGAGTTGTGGAATGTCACAGAGAGGGTGACATTCAAGCAGAACCTAGAAGGGTGTCAGTTGGCCAAGCTGCCGTGGGGACAGGGCTTTCTAGGGGGTCCCACGTGAGCAAAGGACTCCAGCAAGTGACAACGGGGACTGTCAGGCACCAAATGGATGCCCAGAATTGCAGCATTAATTAGGGCCATCCGCCTTGCATTCTTGGTGTGGAGGTGGGAAGGGGGTTGGGTAATCTTAGGAGCCCCAGGTTATACCCCCTTCACTCCCCAAATGCCTTGTCCCTAACCCTTCATGAACCTCCCAGCTCTACCAGGAGTCTGTCACGTACTTTAAAACACAACTGACTGCAAACTTTTTAAATCCTTAAGGATGTGTTAAATCTCTATCTACCTACCTACCATCTCTCTCCTATCCATCCATCTACCTATCTCTATTTCTATCTCTCTCTCAAAATAAAACATGGAAACATGAATAAAACAACCAAGGAATTATTAGTGAAGGCTTCAAAGAATGGAAGAGCTGGGAGGGGCCCAGAGAGGGGAGGTAACTTTCCAGGCATCACACAGCAAGTCAGAGTTAGGACCAGAAAGACAGCCTCCGCGTGGCTGCAAGAGCAGAGCACAGAGGCCCCACGACTTTGAAAAGGCCCCGTGACAGAGGAGATGGAAGAGCTTCTAGGGTCAAAAAGAGCTTCAATTAAATCCCAACTCTGCTGCTCACTAGCTCTGAGGCCTCGGGTGGTGACACTGGGCTCCCGGGGCAACCGTTTGTTCACTCTGTCCCCAGAGCCTGGCACCCAGTAAGTGCTCGATAAATGTCTGCTACATTTTTAAAAGAGAGAGATGGTGAGTGTGGAAGCGAACCAAATAACATGTAAAGGTCTTAGTAGGTTTCTGACATAAAATAGACAGATAACCACAGCTAACTCTATTTCTACCCCCACCACATGCCAAGTTTTATGCTAAACACTTAGCATGCATTGCGTTCATCGCCGATGTTGGCCGT